TACCGATCTCGAAAGTTGAATGACAGTCCCTCGACCGACGATCCCAAATTTGCAAGTGCATCAGCCTCATTGTTTTGTTCTCGTGGAATATGACGTAAAGTCCATTATTTGAAATGGTGCAAAGTGACAAGCAGTTTGTCTAAATACCTTTGCATTCTACCTTCTCGAACTTCGAAGGTTTTGTTTACTTGACTCACCACCAACAAAGAGTCACATTTGGCTTCAGTGACTTCTGCTCCCAAGTTTTTAGCTAGCTCGAGACCTGCAATCATGGCTTCATACTCGGCCTCGTTGTTAGTCAACCTGGTAGTTTTAATAGATTGCCTAATAGTATTACCCGTGGGTGGTTTCAAAACTATGCCTAGCCCGGACCCCTTCACGTTCGAAGTCACGTCCGTAAAAAGGATCCATACCCCCGATGATGTACCTGATTTCAACAGGAGTTCTTTTTCGACTTCGGGTAAGAGGGTTGGCGTGAAATCAGCCACGAAGTCTGCTAAAATTTGAGACTTGATGGCCATACGGGGTTGATATTCGATATCGCACCCACTGAGTTCGACGACCTATTTGGCCAATCGGCCTGATAGTTCGGGATTGTGCAAAATATTATGAAGCAGGTAAGTGATTAATACGCATATGGGTGACATTAAAAGTACGGTCTTAACTTTCTAGATACGATTATCAGTGCAAGTGCCAATTTTTCTAGGTCCTGATATCTAGTTTTCGCTTCTCCTAAGGTCCTACATATATAATAAATGGAAAATTGCGTACCTTGCTCTTCTCGAACTAAGACACCGCTTACGGCGATTTTCGATACTGCCAAGTACAAGCAAAGTTTTTCGTCTGTTTTTGGAGTGTGAAGTAGTGGTAGGCTCGATAGATATTGTTTTAGTTCCTCTAATGCTTGTTGGCATTCCGGGGTCCAAGCGAAATCGTTCTTCTTTTTGAGTAGAGAGAAAAATTTGTGACTTCGATCTGATGATCTCGAAATGAATCGGCCTAAGGCTGTAATCCGTTCTGTTAGCCTTTGTACAGCTTTCACGCTGTCCATGATGGTGATGTCTTCGATGGCCTTGATTTTATCGGGGTTAATCTCGATTCCCCGATTTGACACCATGAAGCCGAGGAACTTGCCCGAACCGACCCCGAAAGCACATTTTTCGGGTTGAGCTTCATATTGTATTTCCTCAAAATCTCGAACGTTTCTTGCAAATGGGTAAAATGGTCCTCTGCACGCAGGGACTTAACTAGCATGTCATCAATATAAACTTCCATTGATTTACCTATTTGTTCTTCGAACATTTTATTTACTAGGCGTTGGTAAGTAGCCCCTACATGTTTTAGCCCGAAGGGCATCACATTATAACAATATATTCCATATTTGATGAAAAATGAAGTCTTTTTCTGGTCCTCCGGGTTCATCTGGATTTGATTATACCCGGAATAGGCATTGAGAAAAGTGAGGATTTCGTGGCTGGCCGTGGCATCGATCATGCGATCGATGTTGGGCAGCGAAAAGGAATCTTTGGGGCATGCTTTGTTCAAATCTTTATAGTCCACACACATTCTAAGTTTGTTCCCCTTTTTAGGCACTATAACTACATTGGCTAACCATTCGAGATATTTCACCTCCCCAATGGACCCTATCTTGAGAAGTTTGGTTACCTCGTCCTTTATGAATGCGTGCTTTTCCTTGGACTAGGGTCTTCTCTTTTGCTTCACCGGTATGAACCTAGGGTCCAAGCTTAGCCGATGCGTCGTTATGTCCGGTGGGATCCTTGTTATATCTAAATGGGACCAGACAAAATAATCAATGTTATCGATAAGAAATTGAACAAGTTTCTTCCTGAGTTCGAGGCTCAACCCCGTTCCCAAGTATACCTTTCTCTCGGGCCAGTGCTCGATTAGTGTGACTTGCTATAGTTCCTCAATTGTTGATTCGGTGGCGTCAGAGTCATCGGGAATCATGAAATATCGAGGGACCCTTTGATCATCATCTTCTTCGATCTTCTGGTTATCTGGCTGGGTCGAAGCCGACATCTGTGATTGCTATTTGGTGTCCCGTTCTCATTCTGAGCCCGATCCCTTTATCGGCGAAGGCGAGTATATTGATTTCACTTCCTCGACGGCGAACATTTTTTTTATGGTCAGTTGTTCTCCGTATACTATTTTGAAACCTCTCGATGTTGGGAATTTAAGGACCTAGTGTAGAGTCGAAGGTTCAACTCTCATGTTGTGGATCCACGGCCTTCCGAAAAGGGCATTGTATCTCATATCGCCTTCGATCATGTGAAACTTTATTTTCTGGATGGTTCCGGCCACGTTTATTGGTAGGATTATCTCGCCTTTGGTGGTTTCACATGCCATATTGAATCCGTTTAGAACCAGAGTTGCGGGTACGATCTGGTCCTCCAGGCCGAGCTGTTCTACGACCTTCAATCTGATGATGTTGGATGAGCTACCTGGATCGATTAACACACGCTTAATTTTAGTTTTATTCATGAGTACGAATATTACTAGTGCATCCTTATGAGGTTGGATGACTCCTTCTGCATCTTCATCATCGAAGGACAAAGTTCTTATGGGTGCATAATCTTGAGTCCGAGATTGCTTTTCCCTCACAATCGATGTTTTAGTGTGTTTAAGCACTGGTCCCTGAGGGGTATCGGCGCCGCCGATGATCATGTGAATGGCGTTCTACGGTTCTTTTTTCTCGTTTTGCTTGCCGAAATCCCTGTTTTTAAAATGGTTCTTCGCCCTATCACTCAAAAATTCCCGAAGGTGACCTTTGTTCAATAAGCGGGCTACTTCCTCTCTTAGTTGCATGCAATCTTCCGTTCTGTGGCCATGGGTGCCATGATATTCGCACATTTGATTGGGATTCCTTTGGGCAGGATCGGTCTGCATGGGTCGGGGCCATTTAGTGTCTTTGATGCGTTCGATAGCCGACATGATGGCGGATGCACTAATGCTGAAGTTATACTCTGATAACCGAGGTGCTTCTATAGGATCGGCATATTTATCAAAGCCGCTCTTGCTCATAAGTCCCCGAGAATTTTTCCCTCGATCAATCCTTCGGTTGTTCCGAACTTTATACGTTGTTCATCCGATCTGCGACGTACGGTTGATATCGGTCTCTGTTCGACTTTTGTTCTCTGTCGATCTCCCTTTGGTTTTTAGTAGTTGTCCTGTTCTGATGCACGGGTCCATACGGAGCTCCTAACTGGTCATCTTCGACCCTAATTTTCGATTGATATCGGTTGTGTATATCTACCCAAGTTATTGCTGGATACTCGATCAAATTTTGCTTCAGCCGACGTGATACTGTCGAGGGATTGGTTTTGGGGCCGTACTCGAGGGAAAAAGGCTTTTGTATGAATATTTTTGAATCAAGCCCTTTTATCATTGGTGGAGCCCCCGGGATTTGATCGACCCTGGCATTGTATGTTTTCACTCTCTTGTCGTTGGCTTCGACTCGTTTTGTGAGTTCCTCGAGCAATTTAGTAATTTCGGGAGTGGTCCCCGATTCTTGCTCGTTTGATTTCACTATGGCGGGCTCCGTTCTGGGGGTGATTTCTCGAAGCGGATTGGGATCCGGCCTGCTTTGTATATGAGTTTGGCTCTGTAACTGGGCTATCGCTACTTGTTGGGCTTGTAGCATCTCGAAGATCATACGTAAGCTGGCTCCGATTTTCCCCGCATTATGGGTATCTCGGGCTACAGATCGAGTACCGTCCTGAATGCTTTTTCCGGTTCGGAACGCTGATTCGCCTCCAGAGCTATTTGTGAATTAACATCCAATGGTAATTCGGCTCGAATTTTGGGTACTTCGATTCGAGCCTCAGTGCCATCGTCAAGTGGCCTTCCGCCCCCGGGTGCCAAGTTGTTGGTTTCATCTTGAAGGCCGGTTTCGTGGTCGATAGGTAAAGCCATTGCTGATTTGAAGTTGTAAACTGGTGTGTACTGCAGATTTATATCAAACAATCACTGTTATCCTTAGCCCCACGGTGGGCCCCAAACTGTTTACCCGAAAAATTAGATAACGTTAAATTTATGTATGGTTCTAAGGATACGTGATACCCTTTGATACAAAGATAGCAATACGAGTATTCTTGACTATGAGAATGAGAATAATGAACAGAAAGAATAAGTAAGATGAAGTAAAACAAGTACAAGGAGATATCTTTGTATATGAGAAAAGATCTTTTGTTCGAGTCTATTCACTATATCCATAGCTTACAAGGATCCCCTCTTTTATAAAAGAGGGTCATTACTTTATTTATAACAAAAAATAATAAAATAAAGTATATAGTGGAGGACCCATGATGATTTGTCTCTTCCTCGATTCCCGCCAAGATTCTCTCTCTTGGTGCGATTGTAACGACTCTTGTCTGTGAGCTCGATACTGGCTCGAATTCGTTATTGGGTTGAGCCCTTCGGTCTTGGCTTGAGTTCGACCTTCGGGATGGGCGTGGCGCATTTCCGACCTCGAAGTAATGCCTTGCGGATTGATTTGGTCACGGACTCGATAAGATTATCGAGCCGACTCCTCGAGCAGCCTTCGGATTCGAGGTTCGTTTGTACTGTCTTCGGAGCTCACTCCCAAAATTCTACTCCAATTTTTTACCACTCAAACTCGATCGAACGTAGGAAGGCCGAAATCGACCGTATACAAACGGATATCCATCTTTTCGCATTCAAGAGTAATGATTCCATATATGATTCGTCTCCAGTCTAATGTAGTTTTTACTTCCCGTACAGCTTCCGAGAACTATCCATAAAGTGAGTGGACAATCTGTATCAGTAAAATTTACTGAACACATGGAGGGCACATAAATCAACACGTGGCAAACCTATTTGGATTTTTCAGTCAACTCTAGATCAGCTGAAGTCATCCTTGTTTAATTTAAGCCTTAAAAGATCTTAGCCATTTGAAGAAGCTAGTTCCAAGAATGTTCTATCTGTACCGGATAATACCATTCTGGATTGGTTTACCAAACCTGAATTATCCAAAGTATCATTTACTCTGCACTAGAAACTCTTAGATATCTGAGTTTCTATATTTCTATTATTTAGAAACGGCACTTTAGGTGTACGAACACAGTTCAGACTTCGGATCCATTTGGGATTTCAAAAAACTTAAGCGTAAATAGCTAATTTTGCATGTCGTCTGAGAGGGACACGTGTGCCAATTACTTTGTGTACTGCACTTATATTTATTTATTTAACTATATATATATATATATATATAAATCTATAGTAGTACTTCACAACTTACAATTTGTGTCTCATTCGCTGGTTAGAAGACCATCTTTGTCTCTGAGTATCTAAACTCTCTTCTACTTTTTTCTGTTCTTCAATCTTTCAAATTGTGAAATTGCTTGATTGATGAGTCTGGTTTCTTATGGCGTTAACTATTGTACTTGTAAATTTCTGCTAGATTTTACTTCATTCTCCTTCTTTCTTTCTTGCACTCATTTTTTGGTGATATGATTTTGATAGATCTGATTTGGTTTTCTTCATATTTTGGATTTTTTCTGTTGAATCTTTTACATGCAGGTTAGTAATTATATATCTTTTGTTAGTAGTCTTCAAAAGTGGAATTAAGACACAATTCCTCTGCAATTTCTTCTTCTCCAGCCTTCGTTCCCCATCTCTGTTAACTTTCTCAATTCTTCTGCGCTTTTATTTCTTCTTCTTTCTTTTGGTGTTGAACCTACATCTTTGAGTTTTTCCCTTCTTTTCTGTCTCCTGATTTTGCTTGCTATTAATCTTCCATTGGATATAAATTTTTCATTCTTTTTAACAATTTCTTGCTAGATTTTTACATGCATGTCCGGAATTATATCTCGCTTTTAATTACATGTTTGGAATTGGAATACTGAGTCTTATGAAGAGAGTGTGCTGGACGGTCTAATAAGCGCCATTTTGTCGCAGAACACCACTGAAGCTAACTCTCAGAGACCTTTTGCTTCCCTCAAATCCTCTTTTCCAACCTGAGAATCTGTAAGCTTTTTTCAAATTGAGTTTATTTAGTTCAATTTCTTCATACATTCTTGCTTTATGATGGTTAAGGCATTGATTAATCAAAGACCATATTTTTATTTTGAGTTTATAAGGGTAAATCTTCCTCTGATTAAACTCTTCTGAGGTGCTGTTTTCGTTTATTTTAGGCTTTTGCGTTTATTACATGTTATGTTCGTTCAATGCATTCATAGTTTGCTAATATTAGTGAAAGTGAACCTTCTCAAAATAAATAAAGTATTTGATTAAAAAGTATAACATACTAAAAATACTCCTTTATTGAACACCTTCGACTTTAATTTGATTTTGATTTCCCACTGAATTTGTGCTTGCATGTTAGTCACTGCTCTTAATTTTGCAATCATCCTCTTTTTCTCAAGAATTTTATTTTTTGTTATCAAGATATCATGGCACTAAGAGGCATGTATTTTTTTTCTGTTTAAAGAAACGGAAAATCTTATTTCCCGAATCATTATTTGAATCATGCACTGGTTATGCAAGCTTTTTGCTGCCTCAATGTTCCAGATTTACAGGTAGAACAATCTACCACTTTCTGATAAATTACTTGAAATAACTTTCGCCTTAACCACATAAGATTAATTGATCTTAGTAGATATTTCCATCTACTTAAATTTGACGTTTCTTCCTTCTACGAATTCTGAGATTTATAAAATGTTAGTATTTGAAGTGCCTCTCTGTAGTGCCGTTATGGTAGATGAGATGGTGTCATTTCGATAATGTGCTTTGTCTTTCGCCCTCTGCAATCACATGTGAATGCAAATATTGATTTGGGTTATACTGATGTGTACTTCATATTCTGGAATTTGGTAAAGGAACAACTGCAACAGGTTCCTAAGATCACGCAGATTATTCCATGCCGCCTTTTAAAATGAAAAAAAGATGAAATCTTTAGTGGACATGCTAAATCAATTGTCATTTTTTATGTGCTTTCATTAGCCTGATAATTCAAGCATTTAGGAACTCTTTAAAAAGTTTATCCTCTTTTCTAATTTTCTGCATAAATATTTTACCAAAGAAGATTCCCGTATGTTCTTCTGTAGTTCTGTTTTACCACAAGGCATATATGTCCTTGATTGTCTGGAATATGTGATTTTATCGGGCCTGCTAATTTCCTTAGCCATTTGGAGTCTAGGTAAATAATTCTCCCACTTAGACCAATTAACAAATTCTAATTGCAACATCCATCTACTCTATTGCATGCACCTTTCTATTTGCTTCCAATATCTCCCTTCTAGTATACTTATGTTTAGCATAACTCTGTGAATTTTCACCTAAGTGTGATACTTTGTAGGTCTTAGAAAATACCCAGTCATATAGTATAGCATTGACCTCCACAAATGTCAATTGTACTACTTTGGCAATCTCCAGCCAAATTTATGCAAATGGCATTATTTTAGATATGTGTTTTCTCAATTTTCACTAACTCTCTGTATGCACTGCTCTTTTGAATATAAACTAACACTCTGTTGAAGGAACTGGTTTTCAAGATACCTGCGGATGTCTATCCTCGCTAAAGATCTTGCCATGAGCTTTAACTCTATTTTTCTGCTTCTCTCAACTCCAGTTTCTTTAATTGACTGTTGTTTACCTTCTATTTCAGGGTACATCAAAATCTCCCTATGCTCTGGTTTTTGGAATGCAGAAAAATGACTACTAAGTTGGGTAGTGTGTACGCAGACTTTACATCGGATAGAGAGACTGTTTCCGATAGACCCTCGGCTCCTTTTCATCCCAAACCCCACTAGTGAAATTATACTGGGTTGTTGTTTTTGTTATCTTTTGTTTAATTGATCACCTTATTACGCTATTTCATATCAACCTTATAATAATTCTTTCATCAAGAGTAATATAATTTTTTTAATTATAATCTTTGTGACCTAAATTATAAAGTCAATTGCTTGACCTAGTAATAAGATTTTTTAAGCAAATCAATTAGGAAAGGTAGAGTCGTTACAAAAACATCTAAATAATGCCCGAAAAATAACAACACAAGCCCTATTACCAAAATAGAGTGTGAAATCTCTATTTTCGTAGTACATAAGTGATCTAGCGAATTACTACAAGGTAAAATAAAATGAATATTGAAAGTACATCATCAAAGCAACACTACTCTTTTTTACTTGAAAATGGGCAGCATTATGCTTAGGGTATATGATTAGCATATATGCATTGTTCCTCTATTTCATTTACGGCCAATCCATTTCAAAATGATGTAGTAGGAACCTGGCTAATGTGTTTCCAAGGCTATCTATCCGCAATGTAACAATTTAGACCAAGTACAATCTCCAAGTATCGTGAAAATCATCTCCAAAGTAGCCAAAATGTGCATGTATAAACATGCCATTTATCAAAATTAAACGGGTAAAAATGAAGCATATACCTTGTTGCATAGTACCTTTTCCTAATTCTGAAAATGTGAATATACCAATGCAACCTAAATATCCTTCTACAGCTTGAGAATGTATCTAAAAGAGCTTGCAACATATATGGGCAGCATCACAAACTCCAGAGTGGACATATACTCCCAGGCTTACACGATGAAAACCTAACTGGCCCCACTGTAAGTTAGAGCTGTGCGTGTGCCTACTATTGGCACTCCCTCAATAGAATGAGCACCAAATTCTAATTTCACAAATTGAGAGAGAGCCAATATGACATGTATACAGTAACTTTTCCTACAAAAGAAATACAATATTAGTGATAAAAATTCCCACCATGCTCTCCTCCCTTGGGAATTGAACATGATGGTAAGTAACCCTTCCTCTTGTATCCTCCATCAACCTTTTACTCATTTCCTCGTCCTCTTATTCCTAAGTAAGAACATTGTAATTTATCATTGTTCACAATCCTTCTCCCTTGAACATCCAATTGCGAAAAACAGTCATACTCAAGGACCAATGTCTAAGGCATGATTGACTAGATGATCAACCAATTTATTGTCTTCCCTTAGGATATGAGAAAGCCTAGCATTGCACCTCTCCAAGAGAATTTTGATCTCCTCCATATGTTCAACAACAATCCAAAGAGCAATCCAACTACCCTCTTTCACACTTTTAAGTAGCATATATAGAATCAGTCCGCAATAAGATGTGTATAAACATGATCTATACAATATCTTAAAGCCTCCAGGATTGCAATTGCCTTGACTTCTGTGTTAGTACCCTCCTGGATCTCTAGACCATGTGCAAACCTTACATCACATGCCTCATCCCTCAATACAAAACCAATGGACCTCCTATCTTAATTACCTCTAGTAGCCCCATCAGTGTTAATTCTAATCCAGCCTGGAGTAGGTTGGTCCCAAAGTAACTTAGTCACCTTTGATCTTAGAGTATAATTCTCCATCATGCGTAACAAGTATGGCCTCTTGTGTGGAACATTTTGTAAGCTTAGCTTACTCACTTTAATAAGTGATTGGATAGTAGAAAAAACTTAATAAACCGCCCTACCCATAAATACAACATCACCATGTTATTAACTATTTTTTCTCTTCCAAAGTTTCCATAGAATATTAGATGGTAAAGCCTGAAAAATAGGTTTAAGTCTGAGGATCACCTGGGCAGTCAGAACTTCATCACTGCATGCTGCAAAATTAAGCCCTCCATAGAGATACCTGCACATAAAAGGAAGTAGGACTACACTCTATTAGCTCCACAAGATCTGAAGAAGATATGAGCCATGATTTCCGCTCATAGATTCACACATCACCAACACCTAAAAGGCATATGACATCCCATCTTTCTAAGGGCATCATCCCTTGGTAATTTGCATTTCCAAACTTTCTACATGAAGAAATGAATTTTGAAAGGTAAGCTTTTACCCGCATATTATTATATGCAATACTAGATTCCCTAATTCTCCTCAAGTATTGCCAAGCAGATTTCACACTAAACGTACCCCTAGTCTCCAACATCCAATAAAGTCTACCTAAAGCACCTTGCAATACTAGAGGTTTAACATTCTCTAATATGTGATGGATCAAGTCTTAAGGTAGACATTCCCTCATCCTATCTTCATCCCAAGTATCGTCCTTCACTACATCATATACATTATGTACTGACTTATCACAAAAGAAATTAGAAGGAGTAATGATATACAAAACACCCAATACTGTCCAATTTTAAACCAAAAAACAGATAAATTCATTCTTGGTTTCCAAAAACTTTGATGCTCAATTAAATCCCTAGATTGAAGCATCTTCCTCCAAACATGTGAATCATCCTTCCAGGACACCACAATAGCATTCATCCTTTTACAATACTAGCTCATAAAGGAGCTCCATAAGGTAGTTTTAGTTCTGAAATTCTACCAAAGCTTGCAAAACAAGAAGCTTTGAACACATTATGAAGTAATATAAACCCTATGCCATATTCATCTTGCGACAGACACAATGTATCCTAAGATGTCTAGTGTCTACTCTTTCCTACAACAGAACTACTCCAAGAGAATTGAGCAAACATTTTATGCAACTTTTTAATAACTAAGGGAGGAGGGTTCACTGGAGAGAAAATGTATATTGGTATACTTTTTAGCACATGGGAGATCAAAACCGCCATACCACCAATAGATGAAAGCTTGCATTTCCAGGATTTTAATTGTCAAGGACTTTGTTGATAAGACCTTGATAGCAATCCATTCTTCATCTAGTGTAAAAAGTGTGGCATCTAAGGTAAGTGAAAAGACACCCCTGCCTACTAATACCCATGATTGTTTGAACCTTATTCACCACCTCCAAACTAGTTGATTGATGCATGTACATTGCTAACTTTTCTTTGTTGACCAACTGCCCGGAAGCTACTTCATATGTACTCAACACTTCCATAACTAACTGTAAGAAGTTACATTTCATATGGGGAGGAGAATATGATTGTGTCATCTGCATAGGCTAAAGGATTGACAGCTGGACTCCACTTAGATAAACCAAATCCATAAAAATGTAGATTCTTGTGTAACGCATTTAAATGTGATGATCCGATAGGTCATTTTGAGTTCTAGCCCTTATTTCTATATTCTGAGACATTGATTAGCTCCGTTTAGTATTTCTTGATTTATATACGCAGTCCGTATCATTTTTCGGAAAGTTTTTATGTTAAAAATTAAAGAAAATATGAATTTTAGCTTTAAAAATAATTTGAGCTGACTACGGTCAATATTTTATGTAAACGACCCCGGATAGATATTTTGATGATCTCGGTGGATCCGTATCATGATTATAGACTTGGGTGTATGCCCAAAATTGAATTCGAAAATCCATAACTTTATTTAACGTGATTTATTGAAAACTAGTAATTTGAAAGTTTAACGATTTTCGACGTTTGATCGTAGGTTGAATTTATTGCTACCAAGTTCGGATTTCAGTTCCGGAACCTGGTATAGGTCCATTTTACTGTTTAAATCTTGTCTGTAAAATTTGGTTTAAAACGGAGTTGATTTGATGGGAATCAGACACTCAGTTGTCAATTTGAAAGTTCTTGAGTTTCATTGAAAATTACATGCATTTTTATGTCTGATTCATAGTTCTTGATGTTATTGTGGTGTTTTGATCACACGAGCGAGTTTGTATGATGTTATTACACTTGTGAGCATGTTTGGTTTGGAGCCCTAGGGGTTCGGGTAAGTTTCAGATAGGGTACAGACCATTTGAACTTAGAAAAATCAAAATTTTTGACTGTTGCTGGTGTCTGAGGTTTTGTGCTTCGCAATCACGAAGGTACTCTTGTGATCGCGAAAGGGGAATGGGACAGGGGAGGATGTTCTTCGCGAACACGACCGTTCATGGGTTAAGGGAGATTCTAGGAGAGACATGGGTTACTCTATGAGAACACGAGCCCGGGCTCAGGAACGTGAAGTCCAGGTGGGTGAGGCCATCGTGAATACGAAGAGTTTCCCGCAAACGCGAAGTCCATTTAGGAAGCAATGCTTTATGATCGCATCAGGTGTCTCGGGAACGCAATGAGCACCTGACGCCAGTGATTTAAAACAGTCCAAAGTCGGGATTTATCCCATTTTTCACCTTTTTCAAGTTTGAGCTCGGCCTAGAGGTGATTTGGAAGAGGTTATCATCCCAACTTCATACGTTAGTAGATTTATATTGTTTCCTTACATTTCCATAAGCACCAAATTATTTTAACTTTTTATCTATGCTTTTTCATTGTAGAAATTAAGGATTTAGGTAGAAATTGAGGATTTTGAGAAATTGATATTTAGACATCAAATTGAGGTCGGATTTCGAAATTAATCACATAACCGGGCTCGGGGATGAATGGGTAATTAGATCTCGGGTTTTGACCAAGCAAGCCCAGGATTGACTTTTGTTGACTTTTTCAAAAATCATTAAAGATTTAATATTTTTCATTCATGGGTAGTTTCTAAAGCTTATTTTGATATTTGAAATATATTTGGTTAGATTTGATTGATTTAGAGGCTAATTCTAGAGGAAAATCCGCGGTTGAGCATTGATTTGGTCGCGGAGTGAGGTAAGTGTCTTGGTTAATCTTGACTTGAGGGATTAAAAATTGTTGGTCTATTTGCTACGTGTTCTATGCATGGGGAAAATGTATATGTGAGGTGACATTGGGTTAAAGCATGCGGGTGAAAATTATTTCATTGTATTATATTATTTCTTTAATTATGTTATCCATGCTTAGGTTATATTATAACTCTGTTAATTATTTGTTTCTTATTTATTACTTATCTTAAAGATTTTGAATATTTTAGAAGTTGAATTTTTATATTATAGCATCATTTTTAAGTTAAATTATTCTCCGCATTATTTATTATTATTCGGGTTTATATTATTACATGGTGAGGACCAGAGTAAAAGCACGAACGGTGATGTCAT